TATATATATATATATTTATATATATATATAGAGAGAGAGAGAGAACAATTATATAACATATATAGGAAAGATATATTTATCCTCTTCCGGATTTGTTGAAGGTGTGTTTATACACCTGAGTATAGTGTTGGATGTCAGTTTTATAGTTGAGTCTGGTGTCACTAGGAGTTTGGAGGATGTATAGCATTCTCAAGAAAAAAGGTTTTTGTTGATTATCTTCTTGGTGTAACACCTCTACATTATTAAGGTCCAGCTCATGCTTTGATGACTAGACCTGATGCCAGTGTCGTTTTTGACTCAATATTATTTTTATAATTTTCGCTGTGTTCATGTCCGGCTATACGCGTCTTCAAATTGGTTTTTATGTTCCAAATTTATCTTCCTTTAATCTGCTTTTAAATCTCTACACGATTATGTAACCAGGATTAGTTTTTTTTTTAATTAATCGCAAAACACCGCCGTGTTTTAGAACATTATATTTCGTACAATATCACTAGAGTTTATTTTAAGAACTTTAAAAAAATGTTTTAAAATATTATGATTATTTCTCCTTACTTACTAGTATGAAATAATCACAGAAAATTCTGATTTACTGTAAAAATGGAGAAAAATGTCGACCAAAAATTCTAATGTATTCAATCTGTAAATTATAAGCGTTTTTATAATTGGGTTTTATGATCTTTATTTCAATTTCTTTAACACAATGTAAATTATAAACGTTTTTATAATTGGGTTTTGATTTCATTTAATTTATACAATTGAATTTATACAATTTCGGTTATTGATTGTTTAATCACTTTTTTATGTGTACCCGTGTGTTGACACGTTCGCGATCGAAAAACAAGAGACAGAATCAAACCAACGGAGTTTACTTGCAGCCAAAAAATATAACAATAAAATTTGCTCATCTCGAGCGCAAAAAAACAAAAGGCAATAAAACAAGACTTAGAACCGTTGGTTTGATTACATCTTATACAGGGTTAGTTAGGTAAATTAATTAACCATATATTAACCATATAAAATATTATATATATATATGAATTATATAATATATTAATTATAATAATTTAATTATACAATATGATTTACAATAGATTAAAATATAATAAATTATAATATATAAATCATATAACACATCAATTAATAATTCTACAGAATCCTACAATATTAACAATTTGACTTTAACCGCTCTAACATCCCGCCCCCCTTGAAAGGATTTTCAATTGGTAATAGTGCGAGTTTGTGGATTGGACGGCGTATTACTCCTTTTGGGGTTTGCACATCAACAACACGAACCAAATTATCTGGACCCCTGATGCAATGCACGATTCGGCCCATCAACCAGCGTAGTGGAGGCATATTGTCTTCATGGATTATAACCAGAACCCCCTCGGTGATGTTAGAATGTTCTTCTGTCCATTTGGTGCGTATCTGCAGCTCATTCAGATAGTCTCTAGACCATCTGCGCCAGAAGTGATGTTTGACCGCGGTTATACGAGACCATTTATCAATTAATGAAGCAGCTTCATACTGAGGACTTGGTTCAGATAAAGTTTTGAGCGGCCCACCGATAAGAAAATGTGCCGGCGTTAGCGCTTCGTAATCGCTCGGGTCACAAGAATGAGGTGTGATTGGTCGCGAATTTAAGATGGCTTCGATTTCAATCAGTGCTGTTCCAAGCTCCTCAAAGGTGAATCGAGTATTTGATAGTGTTCGATACAGATGGCCTTTCGCGCTTTTTACAGCCGCTTCCCATAGACCTCCAAAGTGAGGTGCTCGGGGCGGTATAAAATTGAAATTTATGAATTGGTTGCTGCAAAGGGTCTGCAGCATCACTTGATTAGACTTCTCGAAAAACATCCTTTTTAACTCTGCTAGTTTGTTGTTAGCCCCAACGAAGTTTGTGGCGTTATCGCAATAGATGTCTGATGGTAACCCTCGTCTACCGATTAACCTTTTCAGTGCTGCAATAAATGCCTCCGTAGATAAGTCTGACACGGCTTCTAGATGAGCTGCCTTTGTAGACAAACAAACGAACACGGCTATATAGGTCTTATATGGAACCCGTCCCCGAATTCGGAGATACGTTAATATCGGACCGCAAAAATCTACCGCAGTACGCGCGAAAGGACGACTTGGAGTGAGGCGTTCGATTGGGAGATTACCCATCATTTGATTAAGTAGTTTGGGTTTATAACGCACGCAGTGAATACACGAGTGCACGACTCGGCGTGCAATTTCTCGAATATTAATTATCCAGAAGTTTAGTCGAGTAAGGGCAATTAGTGCTTTTGCGCCTGCATGATAGTTGCACAAGTGTATATGCCGAACATAAAGTTCCACAAAATAACAGCCCTTCGGCAACAAAATAGGGTGACGTTGGCCTACTGAGATGTCACTCAGCTCGAGGCGACCTCCCACCTTTAGTAATTGATAACCGAATACATTGTCCAGGAAGGGATTTAGATGCTTTAATGTACCTTCGGCTGGGTTCCCTCGTTGTAGGCGTTGTATATCAATTTCGAAGAATTGCTGTTGGATGACCCAAATAATACAGTGCAATGCCTTTTGTAGCTGAATAGGTTGGAGGGTACATTCTCCGTTCTTCAATTTATTCTTGGTTACATGATAAAAACGCTGTACCTGCGCTATTACTCGTAGCATCTTAGTGTATGAACTATATCTTGACAATACCTGTAATACGTAGTTGTCTTCATTTGTGTTAACGAATACAACCTTTCGCGTCTCTTTATTGACTTCTTCCATATCCAGGTTGTGACATTTCAAATGCGGCCAGTATTTATCAGCGAGTAACAAAAATTCCGGCCCCGTAAACCAACAAGACTCTGATAATTGGCGGATGTTACAGCCGCGCGACACAACATCTGCCGGGTTGGATTGGGTAGGAACGTGTCTCCATTGCCCATTTGCGGTAATATCTTGAATTTCCGCTACTCGATTGCCAACGAATGCAGACAGGGTTGATGAGTGCTGCTTCAACCAATGTAATACAATCTGTGAATCAGTCCAAAAAAACGTTTCACCCTTAAATTGCGCAAATATTGGTTGGACCTTCTGATACAGTTTGGCAAGAAGTAAGGCACCACAGAGTTCTAGTTTAGGTAGCGACTTCCGCTTTATAGGTGCCACACGGGATTTTGCAGTGAATAGCCTGACCGTCACCTTACCTGATGTGTTTTGTGATCGGAGAAATATACAGCAACCATATGCGCGTATTGAAGCGTCACAGAAACCGTGTACATCAACCTGTTGATAGTTTATGGATAGGCAGTACCTCGGCACCTTAACCGATGAAAGCGTTGTAAGATCTTGAATAAATGTTTTCCAAGCTGAGTGAAGATTTTGAGGGACTGACTCGTCCCAGTCCACACGCAAAAGCCACAATTCTTGCATCATAATTTTGGCTACGAGTATGATCGGTGCTAGTAATCCAAGCGGG